GCATTCCCCCCACACCACCCTAGACCCCTCACAGCCCCCCCCTTCCGATAGTCCGGCAAATCTGATAATCCGGCACCCCCTGGGTCCTAAAGGTGCCGGATTATCGGAAGTTTACTGTAACTCCCCAATGTAGACATGCCGTGGGTGGCGTACAATGGTAAATGGGTTGAGAATCACTGGCTTGCGCTAAAACAAAGTGTTGTTCAGCTCATCACCACCCTAGACCCCTCACAGCCCCCCCCTTCCGATAGTCCGGCAAATCTGATAATCCGGCACCCCCTGGGTCCTAAAGGTGCCGGATTATCGGAAGTTTACTGTAACTCCCCAATGTAGACATGCCGTGGGTGGCGTACAATGGTAAATGGGTTGAGAATCACTGGCTTGCGCTAAAACAAAGTGTTGTTCAGCTCATGCAGTAAAAGCTAACATGCTAGTGCATTTAAAAGCTTCAGAGGACCCAGATTTGAACCTACTACTGAAACCCTTTTGGAGGTTGATATTATGCACATATGAAAAAAAAAAAGTTCTGGGTATTGTTCAGATTCTGTGATTAGGGGGCTCTCTGCATGCTTCTGTTGCAGCCTGCATATTTTGAACTGACCGATCAAAAGAGTTGGTGATATCAAAAAGGCCTGATGTAAATGGGGGGAATTTCCAAGCTAAATAGGGGGTAACATGTTTTACAGTCTTGGTTATGCACAATAACATTCTGGTTAAACTAAAATCAGATTTTAAATCAATGTACTTAAATCCTTGTTTTCCCACTGATGGATACACTTACATAGGAAAATTGTACTAATTATACTGATATGATTAAACAAGTATCATTATATTGGTATAAATCCTCATGTGAACACTTTCATAACAGAATAAGTGTGTTTTCATGTCCATGGTGAGTGTCCTATTGTCTTTATTCATATTTGAAGATTAACTCATGTTTTTCCTGTTTGTTTTTTCTACATCAGAAATATCAGGTCTTGACTTCCCTATTTCTTCAGGAGGGCTGAAGAAATGCAGAGAAATAGTGAGGTCACAGTATATTGAAACTGTGTTACAGCTTTCTAAGCCCTAAATTGAGTGGGAAAGCAATGAGAAAACTTAAGATTCCTGCCTACTGTGATATTTCTATGCAACACCAGGGCTTTGAAGAAAAGACCTGATATTGCTGATATGTTTAAATATAAAAATAAAGCAGAGAAAAACAACACTTTAAAAAGTGAGGAAAAATGTCACGTCATTATTAAAGAGAAGCAAAGGGGCAGAAACAATATATTTGCTAAGCAGTTTATGTTTGAGGACCAGTGGATTACTACTATAAAATGTAGACTATTTGGCTTCTGACAGACTACTTATATGAGCAAAGCTACTTAAACATGTAAGTGTTGCAAGCTGCCAGACCATAGGATTGTGGGCCTGAAGCCACAGGCTAATATTGCACAATTCACCACAGTCTCAGTAAACATATTAGTTCTGGGTATTGTTTTACTGCTGTTACTCTTAGAGCTGGTCAATACTGGTAAAGCATATAGTTAATCTTTATCTCAGGGGTGGGCAATAAAACGGTGATGGTTCACACGCGCTATCCCCTGGGGGGCCGCTGCCTCTATATTTACCTGCCCCTCCTTAGGTCGGAGAGATCACAGCTCTCCTGGGCCGTGAACAGTGATCTGCAGCCAACAGGAGCTGTGATCGCCTGTACCTGCGGAGGTGCAGGTAAATATGGCAGTGAGGGGGCCTGCAAGGGGCTAATCCTGGTAGACTGGATCTGTCCTGCGGGCCAGTATTTGCCCAGCCCTGCTTTATCTGCTATTGCTACCATTTGGCTATACTGTGGTTGAGCAAGGAGACGCATGAATCACATATTTTCTAAGTTATGTACATGCCACTAATTAAACTGAGGATCAAATCTCTGATTTGTAATGAAAACTAAAAGCTACAAATGTTATCTTTGTGTAACTATTACGAATGCAGAATACAAATGGAAGAGCCGTATGAGCATATTTCCTTACCTGTGTCATTCCTCTCCTTTCTCCAGGATGTGCTCCTTCCTCCCTTACCTGTCATGACAGTCACTTCAACTGTAAACTGTTTGGGGCACAGGCCCTTCTTTCCTGAGCTTGCTTTGAAACTCTGTTTATGGTTGTGGGCACTACAAAGTAATCTTTATTACAAATAAGAATAGGATGACTGCAGGAAAGGTGGTTGGCTGACGTACCTTTGCTGTCTAGCATATACTGGAGGAGGAAGAGAAGAAGATGATGTATCTCTGAGGTCACAGTCTCCCTGAAAATGTCATCACAATATCACCCAACAACATATTTTGTATCCTGCCAAGGCTCCACTGTGGCAAATTCTCTTTGAACAAGGATCATCCTCCTCTTCCTCACCCCCATTGTTTTTCGTCTGCTTCCCTCCTCTCCCCTCCTCCTGTCTCTCTCAATTGTCCCTTCCTTCTCTGTCTCACACTTCTTCCTAAAGTTTGCTCTTCCCTGTCCCTTCCCTCCTGGCTCCTCCTCTTCCATGTGCCAGCAGTGTGGCCATGCTACTGGTGCTATCACAACACTGTCAGGTCTCCTCTCCTTCTGAGGGGTGCTCTATTCTCTCCACATGTAATACAAGGACAGGCTGGAAAGGGAATTATTTGTACTACAGAATGTTGATACTCCCAGGACCATTACAACCCTCTAGCTTGCCTGTCACACGGCTTGCAGCCACACAAGTGCTGCCAGTGGGAGCTAATATTTGCTGCATCACAGGTACAGCTCCTCCTCTAAGCATCAGTAAGTAAAGCCCTGCAAATCCATGGATATCTACTTTATATCCACAGATATCCACAACTGTGGATGTGGATGCATTTATCCATGGCTCATTTTTGCAAATATGGATGTGCATAAAACCCTGTGATCCAGCATTTCTCAAACTGTGGGTCCTGACCCCCTGGGGGGTTGCAAGCAACTTAGAGGGGGATCGCAAGCAACTGAGAGGCTGGTTGCAGCAACGGAGAGGGGGGTTGCGATATCACAAGTTTGAGAACCCCTGCTGTAATCTTGAAGTAACAGCTATGCCCTGGACATGGTGCACTCTGTGCTCCCCAAAACAGAATGCCTCATTTGTATGTACTGCACTATTACAGCTTGCACTGCTTTGTTTACACTAGTGCAGGTTGAAGTGGTGTTAATTTGATCCACAGATACTGAAGCAATTCAGAATGGCTTCCACCATAGGTATGAGGTGACCACAATAGGAAAAGCTCTAATCCTTTTCCTGGACAGTTGCAGAACAAAGCATACATGTTTTCATAGTGTAGCTACATGCATTGGATGGAAGTCAGTGGCTGTGCCTACCTAAGCATTTTACTTTCTCTTGCAGTACCGTAAAATCAACAGTGCAGTTCCAATGCTGGCAGCAATAGAAAAGCACTAGAACAGTACAGCTACTGCATTTTAATCTTGATTTGGGTCAGAAGAAATCTAGATATCACACATGGGCGGTCAGTGAAGGTAAGGCTGGGGGAGGTAAGCCTCCAGCTCCAGCCCCCAATCCCACCCCTTCAGCTGAGCCCCTCTCCACTCATGGGAGCCAAACCATCTCTCCGACCCTCACCATGGGGAGGGGAAGAGGGTGTCTGGGCGCACATGCCGCAGCCTCCCCGGCCTGGAGCACAGGGGAGGGAGGAGGATGTGTGGGTTCAGTCTTCCCAGCCCCCAAGCACAGGGAGGGAGAAGGGTGCATGTCTCTAACCTCCCTGACACTTGAGCATGGAGTGGGAGAAGAGTGGGTGGAGTGGCTCCAGCATCCCAGGTCAGGAGCACTGGGAGGGTGGGTGCTGGGGGCAGTAACACTCTGCCCCCAATACGCCTACAGCAGGTATTCTGGGGGGGACTGTGGGCGGAGACAGGTTGGCCATTTGGGAAAGCAGAATCTTCTCCCGCTTATAATACTGGACGCTCATGATGTCACAATGATAAGATGCTAGTGGCCAGGCTATTCTAGCTCTCCCACCATCACTAGCACTCATGCAGCTGCCCTGGTGGTAGTATATGCTGGGAGAAGTTAAGAAAGAAAAACTTCTGTGAAGACAACTAGCCAGTTGAGATGGGGTCAGGAAAAGTGCTGAGAAGTGAGATGTCCTACATGATGCAGGACCCTTAAGAGGCCTACCTGACAATGAACTATTCAGAGCAGTAGCAGGTGAAGAAGACATGAGCTGTAACAATGCTACCATCTAACAGTGAGCTTTTCACAGAACAGTAGTGGCAGGAAAGGGAGAGACAAAGTTATTAGAAAGGCCATATTTCTCTGCACAAAGAATGCCAGAATTATATAATGGGGAATTCTATTCCAGGAAATGGTGACTCTGAAAATGATGTGGGTGCCATAGTGAATAATCATCTGAACATGAGCTCCCAGTGTTCTGCTGTTCACAGTTCAAGAAGGATGTTGGTAAAGAAGACCCACAAGAAAGGTTACACATTTTGAAAGCATGCCTTATAGTGACAGACCTAAGGAGCTCCATCTATTTAGAAAAGGTTAAGAGGTGATTTCATTACAGTCTATGAGTACCTATAAAAAAAACAAATATTTAATAATGGCTCTTCAGTCTAGCAGAGAAAGGTGTAATAGTCCAAAGGCTGGAAGCTGAAGCTAGACAAATTCAGATTAAAAATGAAGCATAAAATTTTAATGGTGAGAGTAATTAATCACTGGAACAATTTAGCAAGGTCACAATAGATTTTCCATCACTGAGCATTTTTAAATTGAGATTGGATGTGTTTCTAAAAGATCCACATTAGGGATTATGGATTTGGCCCATGTTACACGAGGACAACCTCGATGATCACAATGATCCCTTCCCAGTCCTGCCTCAGTGCAGGTCCCCTCCTGTCCTACATTTCTATTATTGTAGCCTTGGAATGTATGACTCAATTAACTAGTTTGATTTACAATCCACAAATTGAGTTTATGGACTTCAGTTAGAAAAGCTATTTTTATATTTCTAAATTAAGCACACTTGATAGAGGAGTTCACTAAGAAACACTCAACTGGGAGCTTCATAATATAGAAATACTGACTTCACCAGAGTTATGAAAGTAACATCAGCTGAAGATCTAGTCCAGTGTTTCAAGAAGTGACTCTTCTTATATTTTACAGATACCAATATAGTGGATGGAAATGTGGGCATATTTTGGCGGTCACCAATGCAGTTTAATACACATTTGTGTCAGGCCTTTATTTACTTTCTGAATATTTCAACAGAGAATTTGAATGAGGATAAGGTATGTAATACCACATTTACTGTTTTTGTTGTTGAATGAAAAAGTATAAAGCTTACCTATCACAATTAAAGTGTTTTCTTTTGCAGCCATTCCTCTCTGTAACACTAAGTAGTATTGCTGCATTCGTAGTGACACTAATGTTTGCAACTGTTACTATAGTAACTGTCTCCCTAACCACAGGTGGCTAAATTTATTATTCTCGTTGTCTATTAAGCAATAAAGTAAAAAGATATGGGTGCTGTAATATAACCACACTCTTGGGAATAGAAGAAAAAAGAACAATCGAAGTGTTCTTCCAAACTATAATAACCAATATCCTATCACATTTTATTTTCTTATGACATTGAAACGTTATTCATTTTCTCTTCACAAAATGTAGATGAATAATGCCATGTACAGAATATAAAACATGATAGACAAAGTAACAACCACTTAATAAAAAGCAGTCTCTCATAACATTTTATCTCTGCTTTTATTTTAAATTGAAAAAAAATCACTTAAGGTGTTTTAGGACCTTAGAAGATAGACTGAAACAACAACTCACATAGGCCCAGATCCTGTAAGTGCTTGAACATATGCCTAACTTTATGCACTAGTAGTCTTGTTGAATTGAGTGAGAATGCTCCTGTGTATGAAGTTAAGTGTACTGTATATATGTTTGCAGGATCAAGTCAGACAATGCTCTTTCCAACTTCAATTTGTGGACTGAGAGAAAACTAATGATGCCTGATCTTAAAGAAAAGCTTGTATTTGAGAAGGAAAAATAAGTGCTTCAGCATAACTTAACTCCCAGAGAAATGTGCTCAGGAATGTTAAGAGTCCTTTGGAAAAAGGTAAATTTTTAAGAAATAAACATTTCACTAAAGAGTTTACAACCTAAACAGTGCAGTAGAGAACCTTAAATATAGTTGAAAGGAAAACAAAAAATAGACCAAAGTAAATGCTTAAAAATTATCTTGTAATGATCTAACACAATGTTTACAACATACAGTAGATAAGAATTATTATAAAATATAAGCGTATACATCAAAGAAATAAATAACCCTAAATTACAACTGCATTTGCAAAAGGACTAAATTTTTAAGTTTATATGCAGCTCAGTTTCCAAAACCAACATTAGTTATTGTCCATATTTATTATTTATTGGTATTCTGTGTTGCATGGTACTGAATAACTAGGACACCATAATGATTTGTCTTAAAGGATGTCACCAGCCATCCTAATAGGACAATGTTAACTTGAATTAAAGTATCACATATTTGTCAGAACATGTACTACAGCCTATAGTTACAAGTATGACTTGTAATTACTAGACTTGAAAGAAGTTGGAATTCCCCTCCCCCCTTGTTTATTTTTTGCATTTTGCATCACTTTGTGCATAGTCAGTTTTACTTGACCCTGCTGTGCAATACTCTATTAGGCCCCGACCCTGTAAGTGTGGAATCCAAACAAGTAGATTCATGCCACTAAAGCAGCTATTCACCACTGTGGGGTTCCCCTGAACACCAGTGCTATCACCTTCAGCACACACATCAAGGAATTGAAAACTACACTTAAGTGATCACATCCTTAAATCCAACCTTTTAAATCGTGATTTTGTTATTATGGAACTGCCATTTGAGGCCTCTCATAGCCAAGGCTAAGTTGTGCAATTCAAGCTAGATTTCAACCACTTTGTTTTGTATGAAGGGTACAGCATGTCCTGCCCAAAATCACTATTTGGGCACAGAATAAATTTTCTGAGAATTCACAAGTAAATCAGTTAATTAGTTTGGAGTTAAAATAGGTTCACTAAGGTCCATTTGTAGGTTGGTTTGGTTTGGTATCTGGAATGAACTTAATGAGCAGACTCTTCAAACTTAAAATTGATTGACATTCCATGCACTGGCTACTTTTGAAATTTTATCTTTCAAACAAGTCATAGAAGAAATCCAAACATGTTAAGGGCTGAAAATATATAGTTAAAGCAAACAAACAACTTTAACTCTGCCCTGTAGTGACACCATAAGGGAGGAAAAAATCTAACATACCTTTAACTAGAGGTTGTTTATTTGGAATTCATAGTTACACTTTGTGTACTGTTATACTTCTGTTGGCAAAACTTTTGTTGGTCAGGGTTGTGAAAGAGCCACCCCTTGACTGACTTAAGTTTCACTGACAAAAGCACAGATGTGGACAGTGCTATGTCAGCAGGAGAGCATCTCTCACCAACATAGCTACTGCCACTCATTGAGGGTGGATTAATTATGCTGGCGGAAGAGCTCTTTCCTGCTTTCATAGAGCAGCTACACAGGAAACCTGACAGCAGCACAGATTAAGCAATTGCTTAGGGACCCAATGCAGCTGGGATGGGGGGATGGGGGGTGGGGATGAGGGCTCTAGCTAGGATGCAGGCTCTGGGGTAGGGCCAGAGATGAGGGGTTTGGGATGCAGGAGGGGTTCCAGGTTGAGGCCAAGGGGGTTCAAAGTACAGGACAGGGCTCAGGATTGGGGATGGGAATTGGGGGCAGGAAAGGGTGCAGGTGCTAGTTGGAGATGTGGACTCTGGGGTGGGGCTGAGGATGAGGGGTTTGGAGTGCAGGAGGGGGCTCTGGGCTGGGGAAGAGGGTTGTGATGCAGGCTCTAGAAGAGAGTTAGAGTTTGCAAGGGGGTTCTGATCTGGGGTAGGGATGAATGAGGGGGTTCAGGGAGGAGCTTATCTCAGAAGCAGCCAGCACGTTCTGCTCCTCAGTGTAGGGGCTAGCGGGCACCAGTCCTGCAGCTCCCATTGCCCATGTTTCCCAACCAGTGGGAGCTGCGGAGCCAGCGCTCAGGTTAGAGACAGTACAAAGAGCCTCTAGCTATCACTGCTGTGGGAGACGGACATGTTGACTGCTTCTGGGAGCCACATGGAACCATGGGCAAGTATGGAGCCTGCCTTAGCTGTGGTGACCACCAACCAGGCTTTTAGAAGCTTGGGTGGCGGTGCTGATCAGAAACACCATGGTCTCTTTTCAAGTGTACATTCCAGTAAAAAAAAAAAAAAAAAAGTCTGGCAACCCTGCCTCTTTGAACTAAAGCAGCAGCATTAATCAAAATAACTGATGTTATTCCAACATAACAAAGAATACAGCTCCACAGAAAGCCATTATTTCAAAATAATGACGAGCTGGACATGGGCGGTGAGTTGTATTGGCTCGTGGTGCCCAGGCTCCACCAATATTTGGAGATGGAGCGGACCTCGTCCTCCCGCGCGCGTTCTCCCACCCCGGCCCCAGAGCGTCACCTGCCCATCCCTGCCGTGTGCAACCTCCATTGAGGTCCCCTGTGATGGGGGCCTGCCACCCCGCACTGGATCCCCTGTGGGAAGCACCCTGATGGGGATACGGGGAAACCCTTGCTGGCCATGCGCCGGGTGCTCCGGGGCCGCGGCTCAGCTGGCAGCCTCCGACACGGCAGCTGGGAGGGAGGCAGAGGAAACGGCCCCACGCTACAGAGGCAGGAGGGGCGGAGCTACCCCGGTGATGTCCGGGCAGCACCCCGCCTGGCACTGGAAGCAGCGGGCGAATTAAACGCTGCCCAGCCAGGGGAAAGGGAGGATGTGGAACGCCGAAGCGGAAGGGAGCTCGGGGAGATTCCCCCGAATGGCATGTGGGGCCCCAGTTGGGGCAAGCAGGATCCAGGCTGTCATCTCCTTCCCTCTGCCCCCCCTTCCCCGTGAAATAACGGGAGGGAAAGGGCTGCTTGAGCGGCCGGAGGGACGGGCCCTGCGGAGCAAGCAGGACACGAACCCCTACCGAGGTGACTGGAGGGGGAGGAGAGAGGAAGTAGCCCACGGTAGGGCTGTGATTAAGGCCCGTGGGCTGGTGAGTTTAGGCGGGCAGCCCCGCCAGCTGGACTCGGACCACAACGCCCCCCGTCACTCATGTCAAGGAGTGATGGAGGAAGACTCCAGCCAGAGCCAACCGATGAAGCCAGCAACAGAGAGACTGATCTGCAGGCAAAGGAGGGCAATACGCCCAGAACTAGAAACTGGGGACCGGGCCAACCTGGATGTGCGCAGTCACATCCCCCTTGCTGGCTGCTGCCGCCATGTGCAGCATGCTCAAACTGGTGGGAGGGGAGACACCCGGGCGAGACATAAAATCACGGCCCGGGATTTTAAAACTGCTGGGCACTGCATTGCGCCATGCAGCTGAATTGAGGGTTCAGAGTCCGGGGACGGAGCACAGACTCCGGCCCCGCAAACTGGAAGGTAGGGGAAGGCGAGGGCTGGGAGAGGAAGGGGCTTATGTGGAAGGGAAGGGGATAAGGGAAAGAAAGGGGAAGGCACCAAAGGGACAGGGTAGAGAAGGGACAAATGCCAGGGGGCCAAGTGCAGAAAATGAGGAAAAAGGCAGGAGGGGAGGTGTCAGTGGGAGGGGGACAGGGTGATGCTGGGAGGGGAAAGGGTAAGGGTGTTGGGGGCTGGAGGAGGAGGTGCTGGGAGAAGGCTTGAAAGAAGAGGTGGGCATGCGGTAGGGCTGTGATTAAGGCCCGTGGGCTGGTGAGTTTAGGCGGGCAGTCCTGCCAGTCACACTCGGACCACAACGTGGTCCAATTCCTTAGGGCCCTGGGCTGGGGACCATGAGTGAGGGAGGGCCCGGGCACCCCTTTCCCCTCTAACACCCGAGGAGCAAGTACCCATGACTGTCTGAGCAAGGGCAGAAGAAGAATACAGACAGCTAGGCTGGAGGAGGAGGTGCTGGGAGAAGGCTTGAAAGAAGAGGTGGGCATGAGGAAGGCCAGGATGGAGCAAGTTGTGTGAGGGCACAGGGGCATGAGGGAAACGGGGGCAGAGGATGGTGAAGGGGTGGGCATCAGGGAAAAAGAGGGCAAAGGTGGCAGGGGCAGTGAGGGATGGGGGAGGCACCAGGAGAGTACAGAAGTAAGGGAAGGTGCAGGTGTCAGGGAATTCTGGGGGTGAAGCAGAAGGGGAGACATCTGCAGGGGAGGGACCACCACGAGAGGAGAGCGGCAGGGCAGGTTTGTAGAGGGAGGTGTTAGAAGAGGGGATAAGGAGGGGTAGCTCACATGATCAGAGTGGGGCTACTGGAGGAGTGGGCACAGGGGGGAGAGAAGGGCTGGTGGAGGGGGGCAGGTCGCAGGAGGGCTGAGGGCAGTGAGAAGGGCAGGAGTCAGGACAGTAGAGGAGGG